GAGCTGCTCCACTGCCAACTCCACACCAACCATGGTGCCAGGCTGAGCTTCTGCTGCTAAAACATGGAACCAGTGCCGACTGACAGACTTCATGCTACATTATGAAAACAAACAGAAAAACAAAGCAAAATCTTCCAATTGTTTTATTTTTTATATTTTGTGTTGGTCCTTATTAGGACCACAGAACGGTTTAATAAATACAATCAGAAATACAAGAACCTTCATGTAAGAAAACTATACCTATCACTGTTGAGTGAATATTCATGAAATTGAGCAAATATTGCAGAAAATATGTGGCATTGTCTCTGCTTTATCCTGTGAGTTTTCAATATTTGTCATTGGTTTGGAAATACAGTAAGTTAAGGTAAGGGTGTATATTCTCTACAGAATACACACAAGGAATACTGTTTACATAATCATAGTCAAAATTGGCTAGACAAATCGCTAATATGAGATGACAATTTAAAAACATGTTTTTATTGAATGTGTTCATAATCAATAGGTACTGTAGCTGGGAACCAAGAGGGTCAATAACTTATGTAGATATCAAGATGCAATTAGCCAAAATCAAAACAAATGATAATTTGCATAGATAATTGTAAAAAGGTGCTGATTTTTTTAAGAAATAATAATAATCTGGATATCTTTTACATAATGAAATAGAAAAAAAGTTGGGAACTGCAAACAATTTCTAGATTTGTTTTTATTTTTCCATAAAAATCCAGACTTGAAAACTGTCTACATCAAAATCCATAACGTTTAAAGACTTTTCAAGAAAGAGTTGGGACCTTAAGTGTACAAAAAACTCAAAGAATATGCTCCAATTTTAAATAAAATGGATTTCCATACGAACAAATAACTTTTGAACCATTCAAATGTTCGTTTATTAGCCTCCTGACATAAAGTCAAAGGGACAGTTTTCAGTTGCCTGAGCAGGTTGCATCAGCCCTGGTGAGCTGACCTCAACACCACCTGGCAAAGAAAGTCCAGCATGCTGCCCCCCCTCTAACTCCATCTAATCTCCTTCTCTTCCCATCTTCCTTCTTAGAGCCTAATGTTGAGCCTGTAGCTACTGTGTGTCTTCTCTTACTGCCAAGTTCACTCAACTGCAAACAGTGAACAAGTCATTTTAAGAGGCGTAGTCACTCCCCCGGCCGTGTGAAAAGGGGTCATTGTGCCACACCAGACTGACTGTAAAGCTTTCTTTCCTTCTTCTGCCTCCTCCCTGTGCTCTAACACAGATGGAAATGTTGAATCACATTTTTAGGACAGAAAAGTTCAAATGCACGAGCTCATTCATCTAAGAAAAACAAAAGAAAGCCTCAGTGTAACTCACAGGATACTATCTTTAAAAATTAGGAATGCATTTATAAAATGCAGGATGACACGGATAGTGAAATCAGATTTAGTCTGCAATAGATGCCATTGTCTTTAGCTCATACTTCAAAACTGCATCTACCACCACAAATCTCTCCTTTTTAAGTTGATTCAGGTAAAAATAATAATAAAATATTACTTAGGCTATTATTTTAAGAAGGTGATGTTATGAAAGATAAAGGGAAGATGAAAAACTCTTACATTTAATTGCTTGAGAAAAAAAAGGTGAGTGGGTGTTTGGACATCTGTCTGGTAACAAAAAGCAGCCTCATAAAAACAGCTACGCCTATTGCTTGGCAGCCATAGTCATTTTGTGAATCAGCAGACAACAGTCATGACACCATTAATTAATTAGCAAACATCACTTTGCATGGATCAACATGACTTTATAAAGTAGAAGACAACTAAACACAGGGTATTCTGCTTAATTAAGAAGTTAACTTTAAAACTATTACTGAACTTAGCATTGGTTATTTCTAAATTTCTTTAGGTTTTCCACCAATGGGCATATCTCTAAAAAAATGAATAAAATATCCTGTAGACTGCTGACTAGCCATTTTAGAAATTATATTTTAAGATTAAGTCAAAATGGTGAGAAAATTTATATTCTGCTTTTTGATTTAAGTCCAAATATGAGAATAAACTGAAAAAAAGACATCTCAAAGGCAGGGCAGATTGTGAAAACTACCATATTTGTTTCATGCAAGTTCAGTATAGCGTGTGCCTATACACACTAGGCGCACACTAATGTTTGTCAAAGAGAAACGTTGACAAAAAAGACACGATTGTCTCAAATTTTAGCAATAATTTCTTTTTCATATCATTTTGACTTCTCTCTCCCTAATCATTTATACATTTTTCTTTTATAATTTCAATTTATGAAACAACAAATCTGACAAGTCTACTTATAATTGCTTCATCTTTAAAAACACATTCCATTTGCAATGAAGCATCACCCTCATAGCAGGGATGATCAGAGAATGATAGTATCCTCTGTGTATGCCTCCTCTAAAGCCAAAGTAGTCTTGAGACGTATGAAATATCAAGAATGTGTAACTTTGTGTATGCCTCAGCCTGAGTTTGTGTGTTTATTACACAACGGGAGGGTTCTTCCCATCTGCGCCTCTCTGCAGCACCCCACATCCCGGACCGCTGAAGCGAGAAACGACAGCTTTGCCTCGCACTCTGCCTCCCTCAGTCTTCCTCACCGCACTGTCCCACTATTTATTAGCATCATCCCTGCCCACAACATACACTCTCTTCACCCTTCTTTCTGTATTATCAACATTATCTGCAAACATAAAAATACACATCAAATTGTTCAGCTCTTATTGTGGTCATCCAGCCTGCTACTCACTTCTGCTTAATTCGTGTAGAAAACATGATCAGTCTGCAGGGCATTAAATATTTTTACATCTTGAGCTCAAATTTATGATAATCTCACAAATGACTCACTGTCTGCAACACATCCCCACCTCCTCCTCCTCTCCTGCCCAAAATCCATCTCCATCCTTGCCTTACAGCTTGTCAAACGTCCCACTGGGCTCATCATTGTGGAAAATATGTTAAAACAAAGAGGGCAGATAGTGCTGTGATAATCCTAAACACAGCAGCTGGAGAATTAGCCAGCCATTTGCTGGAGACAGACTTTCTGGGCTTTTGCAGCTACCTTTAAAACAACCCTAATTGTGTTGTGTGGCGTGTAATGTCTTTTGCTATTGTGCTAAAATATTGATGGGATTTGCCTTTTAATTGACATGATGCAAGATGTTTTTTGCTTTCAATGCAACAGTGTTGCCTTGATAATCGCATCCTGTTTGGAAAGGCATTTAGCTAATTCCACCAGGGTTCCCAATTCTTTTCAGATAAATGAATTATAGATGCAGTGAGACCTGTGAGCAAAAGAGGACTGCAGATGCTAATGCTATTAAGAGTGACAGTAACATGTTGGGAACTGAATCCTGTGTTGCAGCAGCTTAAAAGTCATTTGTGATGAATGCAATGACTTGGTGAAGCAGCAGCTTAAGACAATCTTTACTTTCAATGCTTTCCTTCTTTTGCAGCTCACCCTGGTTGCAGGCATGTGATGCCTGTCTGGTCAAACAGGGCGCCAGTCCAAGCCTCCTATAATACATCAGCGACTCAAAATACTATTCACTTCCACAGCCGAATCCCACTGACAAGCAACTCACCAAAATGTGCATGGCTTCTAGTAACCGCACCTTAGTAAACAACATTCCAAGTTTTAAAATTATACCAAATATTTGAGCCAACAGAGGAGTGTTTGCTTTCAGCTCTTACGACCTGGCATAGCTTGTATAATGGAAACTTTCTGAACAAATTACAGCAAACCAAGTTCTGGAAGCCCAGTTACCCAGATAGTCCATGACTTTATTTCTAAGCACCACATCCTTTTAGCTGTGTAATTCCAAAATCTCAAGGTTAGCAACTGTGTGCAGGCATATTACTATGTGGAAGCATAAAGGCACTAAAACCAGATGTTTACATACGGTATATTGACAAAACCCTTTAGTGCTATTCCTGTCTGAATTTAGATCACATTAGCCTTTTCCTGTTTATATTAGTCAGGATAACTACAATTCTTTCTATTTGTATTCAAAGATAAACCAACAGTTCTGCTCCTGATAAAGAAACTGATATTTTTTTACTTTTTCATGATGTCACATGAGGAAGCATTGTGATTAGGGTGGCTTAAAGTAAATCCATAGGACAGTTTGCAATCAAAAGAGTACAAAGTCAAAGGCATAATAAACTTTCATGTATGTTTCAGAGTTTGGAGAAAGTATTAATCATCTGTAAAAAAAAAAAAAAATAAATATAAGATTTCTAATTTTCTGCCATTTAACAAATAGAACAAATGTAGGTAATCCTAACTGATCTAAAAAAGGAAATATCAGCCTAATATAAGGTCAGGCTGTGAAACAAAAAGGCATATTTAAACAATGGTAGTAACTGTAAATATCAGTGAAGACATGTTTGTAGTTCAGGAAAAAGTCACCTTGCATCTCTTTTTTTGGGAGAATGAGAAAGAAAAGAGAAAAAGCCAGGCAGGCAGGAAGACACCTGCTATTCAAATTACATACAAGAGCCAAAGGAGTTGCCTGAGAAAGGCTAGACTTTTAGTTTTTATCCTGACTGGCCACATTCATTGTTCACCCACCCGACTGACATTCCAAGAATGAGCAGAGGTGGATCTTTCATCTGGCTCCCACGCAAGGCCATCCAAAGGACGCACATTTTGGCATATATGACTGCACACACCAGTCCAACTAACATTATCAATCAATGATGCATTTATCCAACATGTGGTTTTAAGAGGAAAGATATATTATACAAAGCAATATCAGTGCCAAGATTAATTAAGCATGACTAACTTCAGCATAACAAAGATTAGAGATAGTAAGGGAGTGTGCTGCGGTGGCGCATGGGTTTAGCACAACCCACATATGGAGGCCTTATTCCTCAACGTGGCTGGCAATCTTTGCTACATGCCTTTCCCTTCTCTCATTACCCACTCTCCTGTCAATTAACTATCAAATAAAGGCCATAGAGCCAAAAAAATCTTTTTTAAAAAAAGATTGGAGATAGTCATTTTTACTTACCTAAGTGGTCTCCATGAAAACTGTTGTCATGGGATGTTCTACCATGGGGCAGGAGGTCATGGTGGACAGGAGGGGGCCAGATTTGACCTGTCTTGCGAACACTCACAATAGTTGCCTCAGACATGACCACATGGCCTCCCTGCTGCCTGTGGTGACGCTTCTGAGACTGCGGCGTAGGAGGGCTGCTGCTGTCATAGGAGTGTTGGGAGTTCTGGGAGTTTTGGGAAGGTGACCTGCTCTTCTCTCTGAAGGGACGACGGAAGGCTGTGGTGGGACTCGGAGAGACGTGACTAGACTGGCCAGAGGAGAAGTCCTCCTCACTGGATGTCAGGTTCTCGTTGGAGCTACAGTCCGGTGTGTAGCCACCACCCCCTCCAGCATCCTCAAAGCTACCTGGGGAGTAGGAGCGGCGTGGCCAGGTCAAGAGGTGATCATCACCTCCGCTGTGGTCTCTCATTGTGATTCCAATGCCACCTCCACGTCCATCCCCACTGCCACCTTCACCCATCATTACTCCACCAACATAGACGCTGGAGTAGGCTTGGAACTCAGATGGTTGCCAAGGAGGTGGTGGAGGTTTACCCCCGTTGGCCCTCCCTGAATGTCGCTGGTTGGGTTCTCCGTCTTCGTATTCTGCGTCATAGCCACAGGTGCTCTCAGTAGACCGTCCTCTATACACCGGCCTGGCACGAAGTTCACCTGCCACTGTTGCCAGATTGCCTGGAAGGGAATGAAGAGACCTCTTTCGCTCCATCTGCATGGCCTGAGAACCCAGGGAGCTGATTTTATCCGACACATCCCGGTCGTTGACCCTGACCAAACCCCTCTCATGATGGAATTCCATGTTAGTGTAGAATGGTGGTGGTGGTGGGAGCTGCTTTTCCTGACCCTTACCTACATCTCCAGCAGAGTGAGAGTTGGCCCGTTTGATCCTCTCAAAATTGGACCTGAGAGCTGCTACACCAAGTCCCATCCCAAGCTTATCTTTGGGGTCAGAAGGCAGATCCTTATCTGGGGGTGGAAGTGTGGGCCTGCGGGGGGACAGGGTGATGCCACCCCTCTGCTTAGATGGCGAGAGGCCATCGAGGTTGTCGCAGGACGTAGACTCTGCTTGTTGGGGTGAGTCAAACGCTGACTCCAAGCCGTCTCCATGGGAAGCTGACTTCCTGGCTGGTGGCGGCCTCGGTTTGGACCTGCCAGTACCATCCCCAAGTGGCTGAAAACGACTCCTATCCACCACAGCGTATCCTCCAGCACCTCCAACTCCACCAGTCTCCTGCATGTGGGGCTGCTGAGACGGTGACTCTGAACCCTGGGTGGCTGCAGGGTCTACCCCCTCATTCAATGGTGTCTTCCTGAAACCCCACCGCTGTTTGTCATAGCTCTTCCTCTCTTTTGCCAGGAGGGTTTGCAGGTAGATCATGCGGAAGCGCTCCTTGTTCACCTCCTGTTCGAGGCGTCTGATGGACGCTTTGCACTTCTCCAGCTCCTGCTCAATACCTCCAATGGACCGCAGCTCCATCTTTGGGGGCTCCGAATCAGGGAATTGTGCCTTCCAAGCCTCTATGAATCCAACGGGCTCCACCATATTGTGCTTGATTTATTTTCTGTGACGGACCCTAGTTCAGACACAAGGAGGGGGTTGGTGTGATGCCAAGGGCGCACCGTTTGACCCCTCTGAGTCCAGTATGCCACAGTTGCTTTTTTTTTTTTTTTTTTCTTTTTACAGACAACAATGGCGACGTCCAATTAAAAAAAAGATGGGTAGGGGGGAACTGTTTCTTGTAAGCTTTTAGGAAACTCGTGCACAAACACACAGCCTAATTGCTGGTACTTGCCGAAGGTTGCGCAGTCGCATCCTGAACAAGAGAAACCGGCTGCTCATTCAGGATAAAACCGGGAATGCGCAGTGGATCAAAAGGGAATAAAAATCTATAGAGATAATAGAGTTTCTTGTGCATTATTCCGGCAAAAGTAGAGTTTTAAAATAAGAATGAATCGAAGTCGTTTCGAGACAATGACGGTATGTCTTCGCTGGGTGACGGATGGGGGTATCAGAGGGGAATTTACAGGGGCACAAAAAGAAGAAAGTGATTTAATCCTGCTCCTGTTACTCACTGTCACGGCTTCTCATTCCATCGTTTTAGATGCAACTGATCTGTTCACTCTTGTGGACTGACTGTAATCCCAGGTGCAGATCCTTAGAATAAGCGTCTTTGTGCCAGCAGTGCAGGGGGGGGGAATGGATTGGGGAAAAAAGCGCAAAAAAAAAAAAGGAAAACAAAAGCGAGAGGCCACAACAGCAGAGGTTTAATTACTGATTCAAGCGGTTGGGTACAGCGTCACTAAAAAAACAGGATTTCCTTTCCCCAAATCCTCCATAGCGCACCTGCTTGGTATTGTTGGTTTGCATGTCCCCTTCCTTAGATTCATCCCGTGTCTTCCGACGTGATGGTGCTGCTGCTGCTGCTGCTGTTATATGCGCTCCCATCTCCGACCAGTAAAACCGAGGGGCTCCAAGAATGGGAGGGACCAGGAGAACTATGAGTCAACTAGTTAAAGGGACAGAGCAGGAAAACTGGCTCTCCTCAATTGACTGCTGAATGTCCATTATTTTTTGGAGATACTTCTCTAAAAACATGAGGCTTCTTTTTCTGTTTAATTTTTCACCGACTTTCTAATCTCAGCATCAATTCGTACATCCAATGGGAACTAAGGGGTTAAACACGCGGCTGCTTTTAATTTCAGCCCTCCCAGGTTAATTTTGACATATTAATTTGCATTAATATATTTTACTACCTATGGGTAGTTTAAAGACTGTAGTTGTGCCTGCTGAGTGAGCGCGATAGCGGTAGAGCTTGAACCGTAGCTTATCAGCGCCCCCTGGTGGGGCACATATTTATTCCATCACACTCTCTGGTCCATGTGAATCTTTAGTGTGGAAATTTGTAATGCCTCATCCTGATTTTCAAAGACGTAAATATGAGATTAGGATTCATAATTTAAAAATGTTGTTTGATTTTTTTTTTTTTGAAGCAAACATTTCAACTTTGAGATAAAGTAATGACTGAATGTGTCAGGATTATTGCTAAAATTAAAATTGCAACTTTAAATCTTAAAATTATTTTAGACTTTGAACTCATTGATAATGTGCAAGAATTAGCCACTCAGTTGTAATTTGAGATATTTAAAAACAAATATTTATTGAATAGTTTCATTAAAAGTCATTTCAGACTTCCTTCCTCTAAATTTATAACTTTGTAGAAAACCACAATTACAATAGTAGCGCTTAAGACCTACGAATTATTTTGTTGTACATGCTCGAGTAGAATGGCTATGTCAGAAGGGTAGAATTTCCCACATTTCAATGTCCACTTAACTACCAGGACTGATTAAGTTATTCCTATTGTTATATTGCAAATCAATAACGTTTTTCAAGGTAGGAGCACACAGAGTTTTTCAAGTATTCCACATTTTCAAATTTCAAGGCTCACTTACATAGGTGTTTTCTGAGTTTTGAATATGAGATTGTTATGAAATTTAATTTTGCATTTTTTCATTTGGTTTTAGGTCCTTATGCCAGGATGAACCCTCATTTACCTCCTCAAATATTTACTGTTTATTTCACATCAAACCTACCAGTTGGTAAGTCACAACCAAAGCTGTTACAATTTAAGTGTTTTTGATGGCAAAATTGGAAAAAGTATCAGTGATTTCATTTATAAATCATGAATTTACACAAATTAAAGGTTCAACACTTCCAATATGTTTCAGTGTGAGTTGTGACAAGTCAATAAATTTACTGGAAATCTGTTCCCACAGGTGCCACAAATGTGTCCGTTTCCCCCTTAAAAATATGGCATTGGCAACATAAAATAAAGACAAGGAATCAAATACTAGATTATTTTATTTACCTGAAATCACAACCTCAGTAATGTATTGACTGTACAATCATTATCAGCCTTCAGTAATGATTGACGTTTACATATGGTTAATATTGTTCTTCAACCAGGTGTCAGGAGGAGGCCATACAGGGTTCCTCACATTAAATCACAGTTTTACAGCAGTTGATAAAGATAGATAATTATAGGAATGTCAAGGCAATAAGAAAAATCAAACGAGCTGTATTGCAGGTTCACTGTGAAATGAACGACAGTCTGCTAACCTAGATTCTATTGGCTAATTGATGAAATTAACTGGCAGAGTGAGTGGTATTCCCACATTAAGTGATGGGATAGAAAAAAAAAGATATTTACAAAAAATGCAAAGGTTAAGCACAGTCAAGTTCAGCATGAATTGGGTATTCATGTCCAACATTGTGCAAATCACCCAAACCATTACAATAAAAAGTGATTTTACAACTTTTATCTTTCTTAAAACGCTCTTTGTCATTAGAGTATTATACATTAGAATCTATAAATACAAATTTGTAAAGCCTACATACAGCTGAAACACATGCATGAATGTTTTTGTACACTGATGTACAGCTAAGACCATTCAACCCACTTTTTCTGCAAAGTGATCAATGTGACTGACGAGCTACTGATGGAAGAACTTCTTCATGCAAGGAGGATTCAGGAGGGAGTGTTTCAGGACATCCCTGCACATAAAGCTGGATTATCGTCCTAATTTAGCATTTGCACACAAAGGAATGTGTGACTCACTGCGGGAATTTTATGTGTTAAAAGTTAGAGGAAATAGGGACAACTAGCAGGATAACTGTATGCATTCTGAAAACATGTTCTTTTCACCCGTGTGTGTGTGTGCGCTGCTGGTCATCACGGTGTCTGCAGTGAGGGAAATTATGCGTGAGCGCACACTTTGTGGAAAGACGATTCCCAACTTCTTATTCTGCTCTGATTGCCAAAAGCTTTCATGAGAACTGACCTAGAAAGAAACAAGAGAAACAGTTAGTGTGTCAAGCCTGAATGAATATCCAACATTTTACTTTGTGAATATAAGCAAGTGTCCAGAGGTGAAAAGTACAGCACACAGTGAGGTTCACAAAAGTGATATGTGGTGAAATGATGGTATGATTATTTTCTTGCATATGTATGTTTACATATGAAGATATCCCAGCTTAAATTACATCTAAATGAGAAAATCCTGAAATAATTCAACAAGACAGTGTGTGGTGATGTACAGAGCCTTGGAAGTTCTTACACACCTTGAACTTTTGACATTTTATTATGTTACAATCAAACCTCAATGTATTTTTATTGGGATTTAATGTGATGCAGCTACTCGAACAAACAAAGTGGAAGGGAAACTATAGTGTTAAAATATGTGGCATGCGTTTATCCTTGCCACTCTTTATTCTGATATCCGTTAATAGCAGCTAGAGCAGGAAATTGTGTCCAAATGTCACCCAGTTATCACATAAACTTAAACTCTGAGCAATTCAATCTCAGTACAAGTGCAACAAGCAGGATAACTGTATGCATTCTGAAAACATTTCTTTTCACCCGTATGTGTGTGTGTGTGTGTGCTGCAGTGTCTCAGTGAGGGAGACACTGTTTTGTGAAACCTCTGACATTAGATGACAGGTTTAGTCAGACAAAGCCAAGATGGACATTTTTAGAAAACCAACACTGGATAGGCATCGGAGCCCTGATCCCTCAGAAAACAACCAAGGAACGCTCTTGGCCGCTGAGGGATGAAACTAAAAATTGCTCTATAAGATATCAATATTGGATCTCACTTTCTCCCACTTTACATGTATGTGCTTTGTGTTGGTCTTTCAAATAAAATCCTAATAAAATACAGTAGTGCTGTAGTTGTAACATGCTAAATATGGAAGAGTTCCAGGGGTTTGAGTACTTTTGAAGGCTCAGTATGTAGTTGATGAAAGAAATGGATACTCACTCTAATGACAGGGAGCCAATGGAAGGCATTGAAGAAAATAAAGCACACATTTGTTAAGACAAACACAGGCAGTGAGAACAACCAAGTTTCTACCTAAAAACATGCTTTAGTTGAGTTTTCACACATGGAAAATATCCACAAATGCAAATTACTGAAGGATCTGATCCAACATCTGTACTCAGAAAAACTAAAGTATTCGTTTTTCCTAAATTATTGTTATAGTAATATATGCACATACAAAAACACTGGATATGAAATGTAATAACCATGAGCCTCAAACATAAATAAAGACAGAAAACACTTGATTCAAAGGGTTCATTGTGAGTGTATTTTTTTCTTTTTTATAGAAAAAAAAAACAACATTTAGGGTTTTGATCTGCAATCAATGTTCTTTTGGAGAACTTGTATTAGACTTGTGGGATAATATTTTTTGATGTCCTTTGAATCAAACACTATGGAAATGTTAAGACAACATAAAGCATCCCCACCCAGTTCTGTCTCCACAACAAATTAAGTTAAAGAATGTCACAATCAATACAAATAAGACACATCCTTAAAAAAAAAGTTAAAGGGGAAGGAAGATGTTCTTTGTTTTCTGCACAAGTAAGTAGGGGGCACACCTCAGATGTTATCTTTTAGCAAGACGTGTCGAGGGAAAGCATCTCGAGATGAGCAAAACAATTTTTTAAAAAAGCATTTTTCATCATACTGAGGTAGCTGTGCTCTGCCGAGTGCAGAAAAACCGACTTCATTTTTAATCAATATCGTAAAAAAAATAAAATAAAATAAAAAATCCACAAAGCTATTTAAGTTTTAACAAGGTGGGGTGGGCGTACACATTTAAATTTGAAATGAGAAACCACATAGAGTTCATGCTTGGTCACAGGACATGCAGCATTTTTTGTTTCTCAGGATTATATTTTTCCTTTTTGTTTAAGCCGAGCATCCCAAACCTTTCCCTCGTTTCTTGTCTGCCGAATGGAGCTTGTCCTCTCAGAGTTTTGAATTTATACTGAAGACACAATGGTTAACAGAAAGTAAATCAAGGCGGTTTTTCTAAGCCACGCTGGTTAAACAATTTACAAAGCCATTTAAAAAAAATTGCATAAAATAGTGTTCAATCTCTGTACAGATAAACTGATTTTATATCTTTACTTTTTAACGTGTTCAGCAGAAGGGGAGCCTAAACAAAATTCTCTAACAGTAGTGACGTAGGGCAGAGTACAGATAATCCTAACATTTAAAATCAATAATAAAAAAAGAAGAAAAAAAAAAAAAAACTGGCAACACTATATTTACTCTTAAACCAGCAACAAAGTCCAACCCTACAGGAGTCACTTCAAAGCCTCAGCCATTCATAAGTCC